AGCCCCACTTACTATGGGTAATAAAGCAAAATCTTTTGGTGGAGATTTTTTCCATCGAATCTTACGATCCAATATTAATTTGTCTAATTTACTGCCCAAATCAGTCGTAGCTTTGACAAGGTTAGATCGACTACCAAGCGTAGCAATCAATGCTTTACCATCCTGTGGTTTGAGAGCATTTAATGTTGCTTGATCACAAATATTAGGCATTAGACCATTGATTTCAATAATGTTTTCAACAAATGTTTGGCACATATTATTTTCAGCAGCATCATATTTGTAAAAATTCTTATCAACATTCGATGCCATGGAAATTAGTCGATTGAGTGTTAACAGTTTATTTGGCGTAAGTGGAATATCATACACATCGATTAAGTCGTCGGGTATCGTCGGATAATGGAGAGCAATGCGATGTATTTTCTCAAGTTTGAGTACAGTGCTAGCAACCACATGGTGTCTTGCATCTCCAAGTAGATATCGTAGTACCTCGGGTCCTCTGCTATTCTGAATAGTAATAAGTAAATAATTGTGATAGATGTCATCGTAGCCAAGTTCAAGTTGTTTGCTGGAAAACTTCGAATCGCTCAAAAAGTTGAGTACGGTAATAATAAGATCTTGAACAGGTGTGCGACCGAGTTGGATTTTAAGAATGCGTTCATCACCAACCATTGCCAATAGATCTCGTACTCGTAAAGGCATTTTTGGATCGTCTTTCGCGGCGATAAACTGCGATGAACCATTTTCTGTCTATGAATCAAAATGAGACAATTATTTTAGAAACATTAATTCAAGATTTAAGATAGCTGAAAGAATATTTAAAAGTCGTTTATGATTTGGATCTTTAAATAGAAGAGAAAATATCACCATCAAACATGAAAATAACATATCCTTATATATTGGATTTTTGAATAAAATTAGATGAAGAAGCTTTTGATGCTTCCGAATAAATGCGATTTCGTATCGAAATTTATTGATATTTTACCACCAATTCATTGTCTCATCGAATCTAGGATAAAATAGATTCAAATAAGACTCTCTTTGATTTGTTTACGTGATATACTAAACTATTTCTACCGCAAGCTATCCGAAGAATATTCCAATCTGTTCAAGATTCTGGTAGATTTAATCATGCTGCAGTGTCGGAAGCTCAACAAATCGAATCTATTGTTTTTTTACTGTTCAATGGTCAGTGTCTGAAAATGAAAGTTCTAGCCTGATTCATTTCATTCTATTTTGTTGACATAAATAACAACAGCCCATAATCACTAATAAGTTATCATTACTGATTTTCATATATTAGTAATCGTTCGAGTTTCTCTCGTGTTGTTAACAGTGATATTTGTAGCAATACCTTATTGTCATCGTTTTTTGTTGTTGGCACGAGTCTAAATTGAGGTAGTCAAATATGCCTAGAACTAACTTTCAGTTGCATCTATTACTTGCGCAACATGTACAAGGATAACTAGCCCAGTTATAATGGCATATCATGTATGGAAGAGCTGTAACAACGAAATTGGTCGAATACCAGTGGATAGGATCAGACTTATTCTCTTATGCACTTTTATTATTCAACAGAAATAAATATTTCTGTGAAATATTTATTGTACATCGACGAACAATAAAGTGCATTTTAGGAATAGTTCATATCGACAATGGAATGCATGAGGAGAAAACTTTCCTAGGTTTTCAAACTATGAGGGTGCTATTAACGTTGTTGTTTAGAATAATATTAATAATTGAATGAGAATTAGGGAATGGGGACGACGTTAGATGATAGGATCGATAAGAAACTAGGCGAGAACTTATATGGTAGATGAAAAGTTTCGGAAATTCTGTACAATTGATTGTGACTTTATGGAAAAATCGATAGCTGTCTCGTATTTTGAAATATACCATATAAAAGAAATACCTACAGTATTGTAAAGATCGAAAATATACAAATTTAAGTAACTTTTCAGAGAAAATCTAAATTCAAAGTTTTGAAATATTGCTCGAGAACAAAAAAAGCTATCGCATTGGAATTTTCACCATTGGAAAGAGGTGATGTATGAGCATCTGATAATAAAAATTATTCAAATCGAACACTTTTTTTGTATAGTTTTCCAGAGGTTATCAAAGACCACGACTTTTGTCGCCAGAATATTTTTTATTTTTTGAGCTTGAATTATGTGATTCATATGGAGAACTTTATCATACAAATGTGACTGATTAAAAAAATTCCTATCTTTGTCTTTGAAAACCAATTTTAAATGCTTAAAACCCCACAGAGACATTTTCAGCGAATTTTAGACCCTTCATTAAAACCAAACCATCGAACAGAGCATATACTTGGAATCCTTGTATAAAATTGTGTCAAAATGGTCTGCCATCGAGTTTCATTTGAAAAATTTCATTTATCTTTTTACAATATTGTTCTACACTGTGTGAAAAGTGATAAGTACATCGTCAAAAAATGAAAATCCTGCGTTCAATTAAAAAAAGACATTAAGTAATAGCACAAAAAGCAAGCCGTCGATTTCTGCTTTTTATTATTTTTCAATACTCAAACATAATTAAACGGCTACTCATTTTCTTTGTTATATTAAACACAATATATCTGATTTTTATCGCATAGTGAGTATACATCATGATGATAGTTTAACAATCTAAATTGCTAATTCGAAAAAAAGACTTAACTACATTGAGGACTATCTGAACCATTTATTTACGTTGGCTTAGAGGTGTAGCTACTGAAAATCTAGGAGAGACTGAGTCCCTCGACTGGAAGTCTCAACTCTTCCATCAATCCCCTAACCAGCAAAACCCTGATTCGACCACTAGTTTTAACTTTTTCTTTTGTCTTCATTGCTATACCTGCACCTGCAAAGTCCCTAAAATTGCTACTTTTATTGAATTCTCCAAAGAAATGTAGAGCATACAAGATAAGTTTTTGCTTCAATGAAAATTCGCTTAATGAATAATATGCTAGACCGAACTTTTGTGTTAGTAGAAAATCTACTGTAGTATATATTCTCGAAAGAATCATATATATTTTAGGAATGCTGTTAGTTTTTTCTTTTGCAAGTAGTCAGCTACTTACTGTTCCTTGTTTTGTCTTATTCATGTTGATATTGTGAAGGAATGATTAGTGCAAGAAAAGAGGCACGTGTCTTATATACACCGTACCATTCTATCTTTTGACGTTTTTTTTGTCGTTCGCCTCGTTTTTTTTTCCTTTTTATTGACATTATCTGATTCACTCTTATCAAATACGTGGCTATGTAAAAACCAGCGAAAATACAATCATTCTCATCGAATGTAAGAAAGAAAAAAAATACAGAAACATACTACCACTAAGGCAGTCACAAACCTCCAAAAATGTATATGTGCGTGATATTAATTGCAATTTTTATTCGTTAAAACACATATGCAAAACGAGTGGATCCAAACATGTGAAAAGCTGAACAGAGTTGCCTGTATACATGGCGATATTTAACATCTCCATTATTTCAGTACGAATGATTCCATGAGTAGTCAACTACTAAAATCACAAGTGTCTTCAACAAGTTTTAAATATAGGTCAACTCGTAAAGCTTTTTGTGTTGTTCATTTTATTTAAAAAAAGAAAACTTTCTTAAATTGGGCGATAAATAATGATGTTAGAGTCAATATTTAAAATAACGATATTTCACACTAGAAATATGATGTTTTTCAATATTTCGACCCTAGAATCTTTATTCGTCGGCCAAGTTAAAAAATTGTTTTTACAAAGATAATCAGTGCAAAAAACTACATGATGGACAATGCTTACATTTTTTTGAAGAAGCTTTATGTCTTTATCAATTGATTTTCATAGAGAAATCAGAGAAAAAGTCGATCCTGATATATCAAGCGCGAATCTGGTCTACAAAATCTTGTTGGTCGTTTCTCTGATACAATAGAATACCGCATGAAAACC